CTTTTTGGAGGCAGCGGGAACTGTGTAGTTCTTCCAGAGTGAGGAGAGGGCAGCCGACAATCTCCTGGCCCGTATTAATGACCCTCTGGAGCGCTTTCCTCTGAGCCACTGTGCTGCTGCTATACTACTGTATATATATACATATATAATATGTAAAATATGTAAGGATGCTCTCAATGGAGTACCGATAGAAGGACACCAGCAGTCTCTGGGAGATGTTGTTCCTCCTGAGCACCCGTAGGAAGTACAGTCTCTGCTGGGCCTTTTTAAGCAGTTTAGAGGCATTCACGCCCCAGGTCAGATCCTCCTCAATATGGACTCCCAGAAAGCGAAAGGCCGGCACCCTCTTCACACGGTCCCCTCTGATATACAGTGGCAAGATGTCAGTCTCATCCCCCCAGAGATAAGCCCCACCACCGTGGTGTCATCAGCAAATTTTACAATGGTGTTGCTGTGGTGGGTGTACAGGGTGTAAAGCAGGGGACTCAGTACACAGCCTTGTGCTGAACAAGTGCTGAGCCTAAGAGCCATGGATTTGTGCGGGCCCACTCTCACCCTCTAGCTGTATCCTGACAGGAAGCTCTTGATCCATATGCAGGTGGAATATGGAATTCCCAGGTCCACCAGCTTGCCCACCAGTTTGTGGGGGAGGATGGTGTTGAATGTGGAGCTATAATCCACAAAGAGCAGCCGTGCATAGCTCTCCTGATGCTCCAAGTGGGACAGCACAGCGTGGAGGGCTGTGGCTACAGCATCCTCTGTGGATCTATTTGCCCTGTATGCAAACTGGTGTGGGTCAGATGTTGGTGGGAGGAATGACATAATTTGCCCCTGTACCAGTTTCTCAAAACACTTCATCACCACTGGAGTGAGTGCAACTGGCCAGTAGTCATTGAGGCTGGTTATGTTGGGTTTCTTAGGCAGGGGAACTAGGATGGAGGACTCCAGGCAGGGTGGAAAAATGGACTAGACCAGAGACTGGTTGAAGATCCTGGTGAAGACTCCAGCCAGCTGGTCCGCACAGTCCTCCAGCACATGTCCGGGAAAGTCGTCCAGTCCAACATCCTTCCTCGGGTTTATGGCCCACAGTGTGCGTCTCACCTCATGCTTCCCTACTGTGAGGGTGGGGCTGTTGTGGGCTGCAGGGTGAAGTTTGGCTGTGTCTGGTTGCTGCTCCTCAAAGCGGGTAAAAAAGAGGTTCAGCTCCTCTGCCAGTGAGGTGTCACCTTCAGCCGCACTGAGATTATTCATGTGGTTGGTAAGATGTTGGACTCCCTGAAACACCTGCCTGCTGTTGTTGCTGTCCAGATGGTCTTCGATCCTCCTCCTGGAGTCCAATTTGGCCTTTCTGATGCCTCTCTTCAGGTTAGCTTGGGTCACGCTGTAGAGAGCCCTGTCACCTGTCCTGAAGGCAGTGTTCCTCTCTCAGTAGCCGCTTGATCTCCCAGTTCATCCAAGGCTTCTGGTTGGGGTAGACCCTGATGTGTTTGTCCACAGTAACAGTGTCTGTGCAGTTCTTAATATAACACAGGACACTGTCTGTGTACACCCCCAGGTCTGGATGTTCAAAAACATCCCAGTTGGTCCTATTGAGAGGCACCATCAGGCCAAGTTTTTACAGTCCTTGTGATGGTAGGAGCAGTTTTCCTGAGGGGGCATATACAGGAATTAGAAACAGGGACAAGTTTCTGGCCTGGCCCAGGTGTGGTAGCAGTGTGGCCCTATAGCCTAGCTTGATATTTGAATAAACCTTGTGCAGTGTGTTAGCTCTTCTGGTAGCACACTTTGCATGCTGGTTGAATTTGGGGAGTACTTTCTTTAAATCTGCATGATTGAAGTCCCCTGTTAGGATATGCACAGCATCAGGATATCTGCTCTGCTGACTGCTAATACTGCCATATAAATGTCTGATAGCTGAGTTAGCATTAGCATCCGGCAGTATATACACATTTGTTATGAACCACAGCCACAGCTGACCAAAGTGCTTAACATACAATACAAATCTAAAATCGTAGCAACATAAAAATAAAAACAATAAAACATACATTTGGGTCCAATCAAGGTAAAAAAGAGTCTCGGTCCTGTCCAAACGCCAGTTAATACAAATAGGTCTTCAAATATGACTTAAAAATGGGCAGCGCCTCATATAAAGGCAATGCATTCCACAAATTTGGACCCACCACCGCGAAAGCTCTATCCCCCCTAGTTTTCCGCCTGGCCCTCGGTGCCTCCAGAAAAAGCTGATCAGCTGATCTAAGGCACCGCGGTGGATTATACGTACGTAAAAGTTCCGTAAGATAAAAAGGAGCAAGCCCATTCAAGGATTTATAAACAAATAAAAGAATCTTAAAACGAATCCTAAAATGCACAGGAAGCCAGTGAAGAGATGCCAGAACTGAAGTTATGTGGTCCCTCTTATGCCAAACAAGAAATGAAACATGGCATATTGTTGATCCAATATTTAAACTAATCAGCTATTAGATCAGGGACAGGTGAGTAACTTCAGCAACTTGCTCCAAAAAATTTGATCTTGTGAGAATATCATTGCCTATGTACAGTATGAGTTATATCAGAGCAAGTCGGAATCAAGCTGGTCAGAAAACTAACCCACATGCAATGTGCACGATTGTCGGTGATTGATTCCGTGCTGATCTGGATTGTCTTGCTTAAAAAGACTTTCTGCCTGACTAATTATGGAAAACATAATAAAAGCTTACACTTAACATTAACATACTTATTATTTTGTTAGAGTTACACCAGAAGTTCATGTTGAAGCATCACAGTGTTCAGGTGCTTCCACATGTATTATCCCACTTGTGGTGGAAAAGGTCTGTTGTCTCAGCTTTACTATGTACAGTTGTTGGTCACATATGAATTATGAATTCAGTACCGTGACAGTTTAGATTTATCCATCTGAATACACCACTGGACAGCACTGACATCACTGTTTCTCCATTCTGTACAAATATTTATCTTCAGCACATGGACAGTGATAAAAATGTTTATGTGATATGGATGATATTGAGAAATGATACTGGAACCTCTTCAAGTATACATCCTTGTCTGAAACATTACACTCGGTGGGTGCAATGAAAGAGCCTCTGATAGTGAAACACAGCAGAATTCACTAACAATTTTATTTACAGCTTCTTTCTCTCTAAGTGTTTGGAATAATTAGCAATTCACACACAAACACTCACACACACACACTTTTGACAATGAGCTCTGCAGCTGATTGGATCTTTGATTATTTCTTTTGAATTCTTTTGCAGCTCTGATATCTGCAGGCTGCTGCACCAACTCCTGTAGGAGTGTAAAGCTTTGGGACAGGTGAGTCACACTCACACTCAAACACAAGTAAGGAACAAAATGCATTCATTTATTTTTTAAACATTTGCCGACAGATGCTCTCCGCTATACTGTAAGCTTTGAACACAGAATGACATACGCATTATCACCTTATAAAGATGTTACAGCTAGTATGTTAGGACAATATTGCCTGTTTTTACATCCAGTAACAACTGGATCTGGCGTTGTATTCCTGGAAACCTGATGAATCTAAGTCAAATATTCATTGTCCATTTAGATCTGTTTTGGTCTCCTGCTGCTCCTGAAGGAGATTTCTGGCTCTTTCTCAATCAAACTTTATTTGTATAGCACCAAATCACAACAAAAGTCATCTTGGAACACTTTACAAAGTAAGGTCTAGACCTTACTGTTATCACTATTATTACAGAGGGAAAACCCAACAAATCCCCCTTGAGCAAGCACTTGGCGACAGTGGGGAGGAAAAACTCCCTTTAACGGAAGAAACCTCAGACAGACCCCGGCTCTTGGTGGGCGGCCTTGCCTCGACCGGTTGGGGTGAGTGGATAGAGGAGAG